AGAGTGGAATAGGGCAGAGGGCTAGACATGGGGTAAAAAACATATATATGAAAGTAGAAATGGAGTATTATGGATGATAACATGCATGATTAAGCCACTATACAGTTCATTCTAGATGGGAAACCACATTCAGTATGTTGTGATGATGCTCAGGGAATGAATGTAAATTAATAAAAAAAAATTCAGAAGGAAAACAAAAAAGCATTAAAAATACCTATTTGATGACTGCAGTAAGCTATATAGCCCTAGCTAGGTGCTACTTTATAGTATGTTCATTCTATTCACTGAGGTTTATGCCTAAAGTCAGACTTGTGTTCATGGATATGTGTATATTAGCTGTGCTTGCTGTAGAAAATATTTAGATTTATTAAGATATTTAGTGAAACAATAAAATGGGGGAGGCATAGAAAGCAACAATAGATACCAAACACAGTGTGGGAGGAGAGTGGGAGATGGCAGAGGGTGAGATAGGGAATCAAGGATGAGAAAAAAGGCAAAATATACAGGAAACAAGAAATGGAAAATTAATTGTTGACAGTAACACATATGTTGATGTGCTTGATTGAGCCAATATACAGTGTATTCTGAATGGAAAAATCTCATTTTATATGCTATAATGATGTACAGTGAATGAATGTAAATAAAAAAATGCTAAAGTAAAAAAAATGAAAATATAAAAATATCGGTAATGTTGTCCTAATCAAAATACATTAATATATAATATACATATGTATACATTTAATATCTACCTTGAGAAGAAATTATTGCCTGCCAGAAACTATCTTCTGACAGTTACTATAACATGTTCATTACTTGGTTCCAGGATTTAAACACTATCTGGTGCTGGAAGGTCTGTGTTGTTCCCACGAGTGCTCCTCATCCTGACTATAACAGCAATGGAAGATGATCTTGTTCATTGACCAGTTGGAACTCCTTCCAGGCTCCTACCTTCTCATTTTGCATATAAACTCTTCCCTACATTGCCTCTTTGTTGTAGGGAATCATAAAAAGGGTAAAGGAAAATACAAGAGCTTATGCTTCAAATTTAAGATTGTACCATATATTTGGTTTATAATCAGATTGCACATTGCTAATATTCCTTACTGTAGTCGCTGTTTTCGTCCTTGGTCCCGTCAATGGCACCATCTGGGTGCATCTGCAGGAAATATCCCTGCTGGCTGAATAACCTTGTCACAATTCCTTTCAGCTGGGGTTCTGCAAGACAAAATAAATGATTATTCAAATTTTGATTTTGTTTATAAAAATGCACACTTGCATATTGTCAAAAATATTCTGTAAGTGAAAAAGGAAATGTCAATAGCTTAAATATTGAAATAATATTTGGAAAGGGGGCATTTTAGTATATATCTGCACTTGTTTCCTTTCAGAGTCATAGAGATAAAGCTTTGCAGCAGTAAACAAAATGTAAATAAATAAAAGCTAATTAGGAATAGAAAAATACAGGGACATTCTAAAAAGTGAATTATTTCTCTTTCTTGTTTGTGCATCTGGTGTCTGACTACAAGGTACTTAGGCCAAAATGCTACTGTAATTCCTAAGCTTCTAGCAATCATAGTCAAGTCCTGGGATCTGCTATTTCTGCTGGAAGTTCACTATCTATCAGAAACTCTTGGGGTTTTGAAATTCTGATCAACTTGAGCCAGAAAGAATGGCTTAGAGGAAAACCACAAGCTACAGTAAAACCTCTATGGCTGTGAATGTCATTGGAAAACATGAGGAAACAGATTTCACCTTCACTAAATACCTTACAATGACAGGAGGCCAGTACAACAAAAGTTCTTTTTTTTTTTTCTTCTGTAATTTTTCTAGAGGGCATGTGCACTTGCTGAGGAGAATAAGAGAGGGTGATCAAGAGAAAAAGTGAGAAAGCATCCACTATGGGGCACAGTCATGCCACAATCCCTTCTCCTCCATTTCTCCTTCCGTGCAGGGTTTGGGCTTTCATGCACACACCTGGTATGTTTCTAAAGCTCCAAGACTCAAACTGTACAATTGTCCAAGTGAGATGTAGCTGCCTTAGCACTATGCCACAGGCTAGCCCCCAAAGTCATTTTCTATAAAAACAAAATAAATCTTACATATGTTTCTAAGTATTTCAAACTAGATGTGGTCTTTGACTTTTAAAAAAGTTCTACACACTGGTATTACCCAATTAACCTTTACATACTGCGTTTTGATTCTTTTTTGTTTGTCAGTAGGTGCCAGCGCTCTTCACAGAGAGACAGAGAGAGAGAAAGCACCCCTTATGAGGAATGGTCACCCTGCAATCCCTTCTCCTCCATGTCTCCCTCCTGTTGGGATTTTGGCATGCATGCACACATGCTTGGCATGATTCTCAAGCTCCCTGGTCCAGGATTTGAATAGCACAGTTGGCCACATGGGATCCTGGTACCTTAACCATCATGCCATGTGCTGGTCCTGGATTCTTGTATATCATAAACATTTAAATCTTCCTTGTGATGATAGCTGCCAGCAACAATCCACTCCCCATAGCATCACCATTGTTTTGCTCTCTAAGACAGGGCAAAAATTAGACTATTCTAGTGAATTTATAGCACTAAAATTATGTCATAAATACAAGGTGATAGAGAAAAATGCTTTTCCTGGTGATTAAAATGATGGAAAAACTGGAACCAGCAGTTGGCATAATGGCTATGTCACTGGACTCCCATGTAGTCGACCACAGTTTGAGTCCTGGACAGGGTGGCTTAAACTCACACCGGGTGCATTTGCATGCATGCCCAAGATCTCAAGAGGAGAATGAAGGAGAAGGGATAGAGGAATGGCCATCCCCCCTTGTGGAGGGGGGTGATTTCTCACTTTCTGTCTCTCTGTCTCTGTCTTTCTGGCAAGGGCACACATTCTACAGCAAAAACCTCTCCCCAAAAACTGGTGGCAAAACTGAAAGTTGCAACACGTTATCCTCAGAAGGAAAATCGCCAAGCTTATGCTAGGTCACTTTTTAGCCACCAGAATTCTGCACCAAATAAACTTCTCTTAGCTATAAATCACCCAGTCTCAGATATTTCTGTTTGTAACACAGTAATCCACTAATATAACATTTGGTAGTATGAACTAAAAAAACCCTCATAAAAATAAAATTCTAATTAAGGACTAATGTTTCAGGTATGCAAAATCAAGGAAGCAGTGTGAGGGAAGGGGAGCATCCTGAGAACAAATTCTCTCCCCGATTGCTGTTTTAGTAAATAATAATTGAGCTTAGAAAGCCGCTAAGGTAAACAGAGGGCTTAAAGTAGAGACCAGAAGATGACAGAAGGAAAGAAATTGACAGCTGTCTTAGAATTCATGTTTTATTACTAATAAGCTGGATCAAGTCACTTTAAGAAGCCATTCTTTTCATTGTTAATGAGATGCAAGGCAGCTAAATCATTAAAGCCTGCAAATGATTATTTGTTTTCTTCATGCTCCTTTTTCTGTACCTGCAATTAAATGCTTCTTTGCCTTGGTGAACCTATCCTCCTGTGGGGGCCCTGGGAATTCAGGTGGGTAAGTTCTACCCAGGATAATGAGCTCCGGATTGACACCAACCCCCAGCACTGAGCGTAGTGCCAGCACGAGCTTGGAGTCGGAGTTTTAATTACGTGATGATCTATGAAAGTGAAAGCCCTGCACTGGGAAAGGTTCAGAGGCGTCCTGACCATCTAGTGAACAAAGAGCTGGGTTGCAGAAAGCTGCGTGGCCAGCCTCACATCGCGTGCACCTAATATCACTTACCAAAGCCTCCCAACTTTTCTAGGCTCAGCGCAGGATCACTTCCTCCATGAAAGCTTACCCATCTTAAGTAAGGAGCACTTTTACAATGAGGAAAAACAGCAACATATTTTGCTGTACTTAATTAAAGAAAGGTGCTAAAAAAAAAAAATGAGATCATCCTGGGGACAGTCAACAAACACACATGATATTTGTCAGGCCATGTTGGGAGACCTAAGAGATAAATAAAACCCGAGCAATCCCCAGGGAGCACCCAGTCTCATGCATGGGAGGAGGGGTGAAGCCGAGCGGCATGATGGCACCAAGCACCAAGGAGCAAAGGTCTAATTCTGTCTTGAGGCTGAGCACAGGCACGTCATCTGTCACTTGAGGAATGAGTAGGATTTTCCTAGGCAAAGAAACCAGAAAAAGGGCATTCCCGACAGAAAAACATGGTGCCCTCGGAACAGAGAGAATATAGGACAAGCATTCTCAAGAGATGAAATACAGGTAAGGACCTGTTCTCAACAACTGTTTACAGATCAGCAGTGAAATGAATAAAAACAGAGGCAATGGAATACTTTTTGTATAAAGGTGAAAGTTTTGAATTTATGTGACTCTCTTTGATTCGAAGATAATGTTCTCTTTTTTTCTTTATTTAATGAAATGATGGCTATATTAATAGATGGTGGGGGAGGAGGGGTTGGCTCATTACCTTTTGTGCTCTAAAGTGGTGTGGCAAATAACATTTCACTCAAATCCATTTCCTCTTTTTCCTGGGCACCCAGCTAGACCATATGTCCCAGCCCTTCTTGCAGTTAGGTTTGGCAGATGAGTGAGTGTCATATGGAATGTAAGTGGAAGTGATGTGTGCCACTTTCAGGCCAAGGCTTTCAAAAGCAAACATTCTCCTCCACACTCTCTTCTCCTTAACACTGACTGGATTAAGATGACTAAACCCCCGGGATGCCGGAGCAAGAGAGAGGAGAATTCTGGATCCCTGAATAAAAGACAAAAGGCACCGACATTTACTCACCTTGGACAGTCGATGGGTAAAACAAGAAATAAACCTCAATTGGCTATGCATGACTTCCTTCCAGATAATTCAGTTTGGAAAGGGGGAGAGGGAGTAATTTCACATGGCGCCCTGACAAAGAAAACACTGCCTCAGTCAGGTGGTCAAGGTTAACACTCACAGCGATAAATCGTGATTGTAGTACAGACCCTTGGCATGATGCAATGAGAGTGGAATTTTACCTCTGTGATCTTCCCCTGAAAAGTGCATGACATCAATCCAATCATGAGGAAAACATCAGACAAATCCTAATAGAAGGACATTCCACAAAATATTGATGAGTACTCCTTAAACTATGGAGGTCATCAACAGAAAGGAAAAGGAGAAAATGTCACAGACAAGAGAAGTCTAGGGAGACAGGACGCCCCCCCGCAAAAAAAAATCTACGTGATATTCTGGATGAGATGCCTAAACCAAAAGGAATATTAGGTAAAAAATGAAAGAAATCTGAAAAAAGCATAGACTTTAGTTAAAAATACTGCATCAATATTGATTCTTAATCATAACAAGTGTACCCTATTAATATGTAAGATGTTAATAAGGGAAACTAGGTATAGGGCATACAGAAACTTTCTGTAATCTTAGTTTATCCATAAATGAAAAATCCCTGTAAAATAAAATATTTATTAAAAATCATAATTACAGCCAAAAAAGCAAATACATTTTATCCTCAAAGAGGCTGAGTGAGAAAGAAGGTAAAAGATGGGAATGCATGTTCGACACTGCTTTCCTTCAGGATGACATGGCAATTTCAACAGACAGCAGCAATTCAACGCCACTTCAGGCAAGA